TTAGGTAATGAGTAAGTATGTTTTAGGTATATACTTAAAATATACTTAATTTTAAATATGTTTTAATAATATTTTAAATAGATTATCACAAATATAATTAAGTATATTTTAAATATATCTTAAATATATTTTAATAATATTTCAATAATATTTTAATTATATTTTAAGTATTTTTTAAATATACATATTTCTTATAAAGTTAACATGATCTTGATATTATCAACCATCAATTTTTGAGTGTCTATTAAATTTTAAAAACTTTAAAACACATCAGTGGTATTAAACACCATAACCTATATTGCAAAAGTTAGGATTAAGGTTTTTCAAAGGTAGTTTATTTATCACCATATATTACACCCTTTAAATATTAATTTTAATTAGATATCCTAAAAACATTTATCAGTTAAAACATTTTTTACATTAGAAAAAAATCTTTCGGATGGTACTGAAGTTGTAACATATCTTAAAAAATATATACTTGTTTAGCAAAAAGAGAAAATGTTTTTGATTTTCATTCTATCAAATTAAATGATTGTATTTTTCATAAAGAAGATTTTTAATATTATATTTTGAAATTTGAAAAATAGAAAAATAAATTTGTAATTTAGTATCTATATTTAAAAAAGAATTTAAATTTTTCTGATTATCAAAAAATAAAGAAATATTATTAAATGTTATAATTATTGTTTCAATTGAATTACTATTAAATAATTCTGATTACATAATTTTTCTATATAACTCTTGTATTACAGCATTTTTTATGGTGAATATTACAATTATTAAAGATTTAAATCTAGAATTTAAAATTGTTATCAACTATCTAGTCATTTAGAATCTTTTTATCAAGCTACCAATGACTCACAAATATATTTATATATATTAATGACAAATATATATTTAAGATTACTCTCTATTTAATTAAGATGTTTAAAATATGATGTATAATTGGATATATTATATTTAATGTTGGATAATGACTTTCACTTATATAAATTAATACTTGAGCAAAGGGATGCAAAAGATTAAACAATTCTTCTAATCCTTGCCAATTATATTCTGATAATATTTTTTCTTTTAAAATATTAACATTTAAACAAATTCCTTTATTTGGATCTCTAATTAAACTTTTTAACAATTTCTCAATTGTATCTCTAAGTTTAAAAAGTCTTTTAAGAATAAAATATGTAGAATTTCAACAAGTTACAGTATCACTAAAAACAGGTTCTAAAATATTTGCTCCTTCTTAACCATTTGTTAATTTAGCTTGAATATTTTTAAATCATACTCTATATTTATTTCAATTAACTAAAAAATTATTTAAAGCTTTTGCTATATCAATTAAATTTTTACTTTTTGATAAACTATCTAAAATAACAAAATAAATAGAATATACAATACAATATAAGTGTATTGTTCCTAATTACCTTATTGCTTTTATCATTGAACTTGCATTATCTATTATTACAACAATTAATTTATCTAAAATATTCCATTCTGTAAAAATTTTTCTTAGAAAATCTTCAATTCTGTCTCTTGTATATAGATAAGCAAAGCTTTCTATAGTTATTAAAGCTTAATGCATTATAAAGTCTTTTATAAGTCAATGAGCTATTACATCAATATATGGTGAATAATTATGTGTCTATAAATCTGTTATTAAATAAACAGATACTATTGTTTATTTAAATATATCTTTAAGTATTGATTTAATATAAAATATTGATTCTATTATTTTATTTTAATAGTATTGATATATAGAATTTGAAATCTTAGATGTATTTCATAATAAAGATCTTGAAACCTTTCATTGTTAATACAATCTAATGGTATCATTGTTTCAACTATCTATATCAATAAACAATAAGTAATTTGAGTTTGTTTTTTTTAGAAAGAAGTTATATGTTTGATACATGATTTTTAAATATTGAATTAATTGTCAATGATGTTATAAGTGTAGTTGTTAATTCTAATTGAAAAGATATCGAGAATATTGATTTGAATAATGCAGATATTGAAGATGTAGATGTTAATGTATTAGGTGATGTAGTTTCATTTGACCATTTTTGATCTTTAAATATTTAATATACTTTCGCTGTTACTAGTCAACCTTTTGAACTAATTTTATTTTCCAAAAGACAATTTACAACTAGTAACTTATAAACAGTTACCTTAGTTTATGAATTGAAAAAAATAATTTTAAAAGAATAAAAGAATATTATAAGTTAAAACTAAAACTAATTAAAGGACTTAAGAATTTATGATCATGGAAATTAAATTATTGATTAATGATTAAATTTTAAAGATCAATTTATGAAATTAAGGCAAAGAGTTAAATATGTTTGTCAATAATAATAACAGAATTTTATAAATCAGAATTTATATTTGAAGAATATAAATTAATAGAAAGGTAATAAAATTTTAATATAAAAGATAAAAGTTTATTATGAAAGAAATCAATAATCCAGTTACTTTAGGATTATAAAAATATTAATTCAATTATAGAATTAATTACAGTTGAGATTACTTTCTAAATTTTACTATTTAGAACTGTTCAAATCTAATTTGAAACTATCTGAATCTAACTTGAGGTAGAGAGAAAACTCACCCTTTTTATAATATTTAATTTGATCAATAAGTTAATCAGTAAGTTGGTCAATAAGTTAGTTGAAACCTTAGTCAGTAATTGTGCCAATCAGTTGACTACTAAGTTGGTCAATCAGTTGATTACTAAATTGATCAGTAAATTGGCCAATAATTGAATCACTATAATCTATATTATTAATTTATATATTTCATATTACATTAATAAATATTAATTATAACTAATAAAATATATTAAATAATTATATTAATAAAATAAATAACAAATAAAAAATAAAATAAAATAATAAAAAAAAGAATTAAAGTGAAAGAAACTCATGGTAACAATATAAATATATAGTGATATTTATAGTTGATATATAAAATTTAAAAAATGTTTTATATTGATTTGATGTACCATCTCCATTATCTATTTTAACTAAACAAGATCTTACTTTTGTAAGTTTATTTTACTGTATATATTTCTATACTTAACTTTTATCAAGTTTAATTTTTTTTAAAATATTAATGAATATAGAAAATATATTAGAATATTTTCTTACTATTGAGATTTGAAATATAGTCACCAAAGATTTTTCTATAAAATTTTTATTATTCTAATTTTCATTTAATTCTAAATTACTTTCTCTACTTAATACTAAAGTATTACTATCTGACATTGAAATATCTCTATTTGACAAATTCTCTCTATCTAATATTTAGTATCATAATTTTCATTTAATATTAAATAATCATAATAAGTGTCATCATCTTTATTTTTACTTTTATTGATAGAAAACTATCATTAAAAAATTCTTCATTATCACAATTTCCATCTAAATTATTATTAATATTATCATCTTCTCTCTCATTTAATATCAAAGTATTAATATTATCAATATTATCATTATCATTATCAATATTATTATCATTTTCATCTCTTCCATCTAATATTAAAGTACTATTAATATTATTATTTTTATTTTACCCATCTAATGTTAAATTTTTATTAATATTATTATTATCTTTTTCAATATCTAATGCTAAATTATTATTATTAAGATCATTATTACTATTAATTCCTATATCTAATGCTAAAGTATTATTATTCCTCTCTTCTAATGCTAAAGTATTATTATTATTTCTCCTATCTAATACTAAAGTATTATTATTATCTGTATCTAATACTAATTTTAAATCATTATTATTCTCATTATGTAAATTATTAGAATTATAAGACAAATTATTTTATAAATTTAAGTTAGTTGAACTATAATTTAGATTATTTTTCTATTTTTTTTTATTATTCTAATAATAAAATTAATTATTTATTTAATCAATTATTTTATTTATTTAATTATTTAATTATTTATAATTATTTAATTATTTAAGTATTTAATTATTTTTTAATTATTTAATTATTAAATTAATACAAATACAAAATAATTAAATATATTTTATCTCTTGAACTCAAGTTTCAATAAGACCATTATAAGATATAAATTGATTAAAATTTTTCTTAGGTTGTTTACATTTTATCAATAATAAATTTGATAAAAAAAAAGAAAAAAAATATTAGATCAAGAAAAAAAAATTAAAAAATTAAAATATATATTTGTATACTTTACATTGTTATTTTTATTTAATTAATAAAAATAAAAATTAAAAATATCTTGTGCACATCTACTATATTGTTAATTAATAAAAATATTTTATGTTACTTTATTATTTTTTAATAAAAAATATTGACTAAAAAAATTATTCTGTATAGTATTGACTTCAAAAAATTAACTAACTAAATTAGCTAAATTAACTTAGTTAACTAATGACCTTTTGGTTTTGAATACTAAGTATAATTACTATATATTTACTATATATATTTTTCTACCTTTAGTTATTAGTTTATTATATTTATTTGAAAATACATCATGGTCAACAATGTTCAAATAATAAATTAAAACAATGTATTTAGTACACTATTAATATGAAATGTTTAAATAATATATTAGAATATTGTATTTTAGTATATTAGTACTATTTTTTTTTTTTTTTTAAATCCAATGGAGTTTTATTCCAATAAACTTTTATTAATAAATTAGGTATAAATTTTGATGATACATATAATTTATTTTACATTTATTGAAACTGACTAAAAATAACATTTTATGATCTAACTCATCATTATTTAAGTATAACCTTAAGAACTGATGGCCAAAATTCTATCAGATATAATATTATATTAGTACTATTTAAATAACATTATAGAATAATGTTCATATAATATAGTAGAATATTTTTATTTAATTTTTAATAGAAAGTAAAGGCAAATACAAGAAAAGTACTTAGATTTAATTCAGTAGTTATCAGAAATTTTAAAAGTATAAAATGTATAAATATTAATTAAAAAAATTAATTTATATTATAGAAATAAAAAAAAAGCAAGTTTACTTGTCAGGTAATAGGTTGCAGGCCTGTCTCTTATGAGTTAGTTCAAGTCTTATTTTTTTAAATAAACATTAAAATAAATTATATATTTTGTATTATATAATCCTATATAATGTAAAAAACTTTTTCTTTTTTTAATTAATAAATTTGAGATGAGACCTCACTGGAACAAAAAAAAAAACTATAGAAATAAAGAAAGTAAAAAAAATCTAGGTTTAAAAAATTAAATACAAATATAGATAAATATAAAAAAAAGATAAAAAATAAGGTAACAAAAAAAAAAAGAAGGTGACAAATTCAAAGTCAAGAAGATAAATAAATTAAAATAAGATAGTTTTATTAGAAATTTAGATAGAAAATAAATATAAAATTAAGTAAAGAAAGTGTAATTCTAACTAAATTACATGATCAAATAAGCAAAAAAGTAAATATTAATAATTTATTTTAAAGTCTAAAACTTAAAATTATATAATTTAAATATTTATTACTAATTTAATAAATAAAATAAAGAAATCAATAAAGAAAAGTTAATTATTATAAAAAAAATAAAATTTTTATTAAAGAAAATAAAGAAATTACAAGAAATAATATTAAATTCTAATTTTTATATAAAAAAAAAATTACATATATGTTCTATATATTGTAACATTTCAAATAATTATTTTTATCTTTTATTTATTTTTTTATTTTTATTTTTTTTTATTTTTTTTTTTTTGTATAAGGATTAACTCTTATTTGGTTATACAAAATATACATGTTTTCAAAATTGATTTTGGATTTTTGAAATATTTTACCTTTTTGAGATTTATGTAAAATCTATTCTATATATGAAAGTAAAAAAAGTATCTAGTTATATGTATATTTAATCAAAGAATAAATCTATGTGGTTAAAAAATTTCAGGGTTTAAGTAAAATAATTTTGTCTTCTATGAAAAACTATTTTGACTTTTTTCCTTGAAATTGTAATTTTGGGATTTCAAAATAATTTTACATACAAGTATAATACAAGGTACTCTGAAGAGTTCAATTTCATAAGTTATTTAGCAGTATTCATAACATTAGTACTTTCATTTTTTTAATGAACCATATTGAACAAACAGAATATTATTCCTTAAAATCTCAAGTTACAACTTTCTATTAGCAGTTCTAATGAAATACGACAGTGAACTAATAGATTATACTGAAATATTATTGTGAAAGAGTAATGTTACACTACAAGATCACATCCTGTCTAATGAATTACACTATCCAAATATTCTATAATTAGAGGGTGCAGAATCTGAAAATTTATGTACTCTCCATCTAGCAGTAACTAGGCTATCTATTATAATTATTATTATGACTAAGTACAAGATACAGAATTTATATTCCTTATTTGTCTTTCTTTCATTTTCAATATAATAAATATTTTAAGAATTGAACTTGACCTCTAAACCACTAATCTAAGTACTAACTATCTCATATAAGCCCATATACCTCAATTTACATAACTAGTTAGTGACTATTTACACATAGTATCTGATAGAATATAGATAATTTTCTTTTAAGCAAGGATACCAGTTGATATTTGCTAAACCTTAGATTATAGAAAGATCATTATCCATATTAATTGTAACTAGTTGAGATCGATCTGTTAACTTTATGACTTGGTTCTGATATACTAGCAACTAGACTATGTAAACCAAAACCTTATTTTTTTATTTTCTTTATTTGTATTATTTATAATTATAGTTAATTTTGTAAATCAGTGATACAAATTAGAAGTGTTACATTTAAGAATTATCATTGTTAATTTACCTAGGTATATACTTAAGTATAATACCTAGAGAAATATCCAAGTAGGATACCTGAAGATAGATAATGAAATTACCTTTGATAATATTATTTGTATCACTTAATAAAGAACTAATTTAGTATAGAGAATAGTATAGTTTGTTTGCAATATAAAGGATACCAAAGGAATATAAATAAAATCTCTTTAGTTTTGATTTTAATTAGTTCAGTTTAGTTCTAGATCAAGTTTAATAGTTCAAGTTTAAGTTTCTTAGTTATTTAGTTCATAATTCTCTGATTTATTCTTTTAATAAATATTATTTCTTTTATTATTCTTATATATTTATCTTTTATTATTTATTATTATATATTTTATTTATTTTTTATATTTTGTGTATTTATTTTAATAAAGTTAATATTAAAATAAAATTATCGTATAATTTATCAACTTTGAATCTTTTACACATACACCTCGTTGAGTCACAAATCAACTTGATGTTGTAAAAACTCCATCACAATAAAAAATTTACTTCTAAGTTGACCTTCTTCTCTAACTCTATAATTTACTATAATTGATTAAGTAGGATTATCGAAAATAATATGATAATTACATAACTATTTGTTAGTTTTTGTTAAAAAAGATTCTCTATCCTTCAGAATATTATTATATTGGACACGTAACAATATAAATAAAAAATATAAAAGTATAGAAGTCAAAATTTATCCTAAATATCCTAAACATTTTAAACAGGTGATCTAAAATTATTTCTCTCAATTCAAAAAATATTACCAGTTATCTTTTTTCCATTCAGAAAAAAATTTATCTAGATGTGACCTTTAACATATATATCTTATTGACTATAAATTATATCTCATAATTAATATTTTAAAATATAGTTAAAATAGATTTGCTCATATCCAAATAAAAAATTCATTCTAGTTTTATCCAGATAAAAATATATTAACTTGAATGGATAATATTATAGGAGAAAAAGATTTAATTTTATTTTAACTTGTTTTTTTATATTTGATATATTTCTGTTTAAGTTATTTAGATAAAAAATAGAATTTTAGAAAAAAATTAAAACTCTTTTCTATGATATATACCATATATATTGTAACACCTGAAATTATTATTTTTATCTTTTATTTATTATTATCTTCTTTATTTGTATTATTATTAATTATA